CTATAGATCTATAACTGACTTGTTATTAGTGCTATAAACCTATAACAGGTGTGACATTGCAACTGTACAGAGCTGCCAAAGGCCTATATATGACTTTCCAAAGTGTTATGCTTCTTAATGGGCTTAACACTGTGAGCAAGGCTGTGCTATCTGAATTTTGGTCCCAATTTCAGGGTTCCAATTAAGCATAGTTTTAATGACTAGGTGGGAGCAGGAGGCAAAATAATGCATTTAAAAAGATGAAAAAACCAACTACCACTACAGTCAGAGAGTACCTTCTGTCAGCATCTTGTGATGTACTTATTGGCAGATGGTGGGGGATGCTAGGAGACAGGAGAAAGTAGCATTCTATTGTCAGAAAATGCCTCTAGACTGTTGATGCAATTGCCTCAACAGCCTATGATTTTGAATTCTCCCAAAGAGTAGAGGGCTTATTCAAACCATTTTGTTTTAAAATGGGTTTGATGACTCCTAAGAACAGGTTTGCTGGAGTTGATGCTAAAACACAGTATCTAAAGCAGAATATCTGTATCTTAAGAATGTTTTAACAGTGTCTAAAACTTTGCTAACTTTTAAAATCATTAGCATCATTGTAGGGCTGCTTCTGAGTTAGGCTAGCTCAGACATATGGCTATTAGTGCCAGTGTTTGTTACAGGAAACTGGGGAATCCAAAGGTTGTAGAAATAGGAGATCACTTGGGGCAGTAAAGAGCTGATTAGTATCATCTAGAATTAAGGGGAAGTTTATATTGACATCACTTGTCATTCAGTCACTTCACTCTCCTGTGTCCATGGTGTCACTATTGAGTAATGAAACTGTGGTATCAACTACAAAGAAGCAGCTCCAGAAGAGGGTTAAGATGTACTAGCTAGACAATGGAATCTAGAGGGCCATCCATGCTCCTCTATGCTGTACCAAATCAGCATCCTGTCAGCCTGGATGTTTGATAACCTCAGTGTCTATTGTTTCCTCTTGACATGTTGAGCAAGCCCGCCTTTCAGGGGCCAACATGCACTTGGGCATATTTCTTTGAGTGCCACACATTATATAGACGCCAGAAGGTATAAATACATAGCCAAATTCAATCAGCCTCTACCATACCACACTCTTGGACAATGATATTATATTCTCTACACATGTGTAGAGAAGGAAGAAACACTGTAAAGGTGTGTGGCTAGGCCAGAGTACAAGGCATTCAGGCTGAGGCCTAGGACCTTAAATATTTCACAAACCAGTCAACTGAGATTTGCATCATTATTAACGATGAAAATACCAAGAATAGGTTAGCCCAGGATCAGTTGCTCAGCTAAGGGAGGAGATCTCATGGCTGGGGCCCATTCACTCTCATGTTCTGTTTCTCAGAACTTAGTAGACAATCAAGTGCATTATAAAAATTTAGAAATGATGTTGCTTTGTAGTCCTTCTGCTTCTCTGAGAAAACAGCAGTTTCCTTTCACCCGAATTTCTTCTGGATCTCCATCTTCCTCTTTGTGCTAATGGCTGGTTGCATCATGTCTCTTTGGGATTGCTTCCCACTGGTAAGACTGAAAAAACCCCCATGGATATTCAGACACATCAGAAAGCTCCATCTAACATCAGAATGCTTCATTTCATTGCTGTCTTGGATAGAAGCGCACATTTTCTGACGTGAACATGAAGTTATTAAAGACCTGAGATTCCTAAGGTTTGTCATTTTCCTGCTCAGGTCTTGTGCTTTTCTTTGCATGTATATGAAATCCTGGATTTGTGTCCTAGATTAACTGTCCTAAAACATTCAAGGGTCTAGGTCTAGCACTAAAGAAAATGACGAGGATTAAATCTCAAGCAGCAAATAAATGGAAGGGTTTGTTTGTTTGTTTGCATGACTTCTAAGACTAGCATGATATCAGTCCAAATCCTCAAGCACTCACCATCACTTCTTACCATCGGGTCAACCCTGAGATCTCTGTTCAGGCCTAAGAACATTTTCTCCATCCACCACATACACGGAACTTGTGATACGCTCAGTGTTCAAGCTTCGAGATACTGTTTTAACTCACAGAAACCTAGAAATGTAGAAACGTCTGGGCCATCAAGGAAATATGGCTGTGTAGGAATGGTGCAGAGAGCTCATGGAGAACTCAGTTAAATTTCCAAGCAGAAATGGCCCCAGCTTAGTTTCTGTGAAACTAAGTTAATAAACAGCATTTTAGTTGCTCTGGAAATTGATTCTAAACAATTTTGAGAACCTTATCTTGGTTTTCGAGGACATGTCATATGTTTGGGTCAGAATTCTTTCTGTTAACTATTGCAGAATGAGCTGTGGGGCCTGTGTTCTGTTGTTTTTCTCAAGGAACAGAATACCTGCAGCATTTACAACATTGGAAGCCTTTGTTATGGGGCAGAGATTTCAGTAATTGCAAGAGAACATTGTGAATAACCTTCCCCCTACCTCTCAGACTCTAAAAATATCAACAAGGCCAAGACCCTAAAGCAGCATGGAAGAGCCCGTGCATGTGCTCACCACGGGAGCATGTGCTTACCATGAGAGCAGGCCTGTACACATGGCCTTCCAGTGTGCTGTACTTATGTGTCATGCTTTGTGGTGCAGCATGCAAACATTGAGATGCATGTCATAAGTGGGGTACAACTGTGCACTTAAGAACAAAGGGAAGAGATGAAGTAAACAATTCACTGAACAGTCGGCAGCCTTAAAGGGAAACAGGTATCCAGTGCAGATACCCATTGACACACCTAGCACCAAGCACCTGCACAAAGCTGAAGCTCCAATAACACAGAGCAGAATTGCTCTCCTCCTGCCTCCTTATCTCTTTGCCAAGTAACAAAGGGTTAATGGGATGGAGAATAATCTAGTCCCTGGTAACTGATGGAGAATTAAAACTAAAGCTAAATAACTACACAAAAAAACAAAGAAGCAAAAAAAAAAAAAAAAAAAAGCAACAATAGAAACCTGAGGGTAGGAACCTGAGGGTAGGCTAAGGTTTCCAGAGCATCTCTGTGGAGCTCACTATCATATTTGAAGGGAAATGAAGATGATGAGGATACACACTCCATGCAACAAGGAAGCCCCACACAGAGAAGAAGGCTCCACCAAAAATGACAAGATCATTCTGGAAGCTTCCTCTAGGAGGGATTAAAAATCAAGAACAGGAGATGTTGAACCAGGTTTTCCCAGAGGCATTTGTGCTTGGCCTCCATGAACTATGGAGATTAAAAAATCAAAGCCTAAATTACTTCTGGCAAAAGAAAAGACCAGAGGATGAACAGTGAGGAGCATGTGTGTGCTTTCAAGAGCTCACCCAAGATATCCCCACTACAGTCGGCACACACAATCTGACTAGGAAACCAAAGGATAGAAGTGAGAACTCCTAGGAGAGGGTCCAGCAGTCTCTGCAAATGCCCACTCCTCCCCTCAGGATTGCCTGTTTATAGTCCTCCTTAGCACTCTGGAATCTGACACCTTCACGGGGGATTCTAGAGGGCTGAGGGGTATCAGAGCATGCTCATGTCTGTGCTCAGCTGTTATTCCTAGCTCCTTTCTTCTCAGTGCTTGCCATATGTGCCTGTGTAGTTTTTCATGACCCTTCCACTTCCATCCCGGTGTACGCCTTTGGCAATGGCTTCCTGGATCTAGATCACATCCATATCTGTCCACCACCCTCAGCGGGACTGGAGGGGTGGGGTATGACATCTACAGCAAAGTACAAGGTCACTCACAGCCCTGAGATGCACCATCCAGTGCGTGGGTGGAAGACCACAGCAGCATCCGTCCTGGGTAGGAAAAGTCCAGTAAACATCTGTGTGAGTGCTCGTGAGGCAATTAGCACAGCAGATACTTACTCTATGAATAAATAAGTACAGAAACAAAGCAGTGGAAACAAGAGGGTTCTTATCAATTAAAACAACAACAACAAAAAAATCCCCCTTGAGTTTCCAAGCCCTCGTGCAGTGTTGGTTAGTTGGCAGAATAACCCAGAGAAAAAAAGAGCAAATATGGAAAGAAGTGGAAATATTCCAGCATTGCTTTTTCTCTCACTTGACGATATACAAGTCACCCTAAATGTCCCCGAGGTAGTCTTGTTTACAAGGAGTTACAGACTGGCTCCGAACCCACTTGGAACTTCTCCTTTTAATGCCATTGCACGTTCCCCCATATCCAGTGTCAGCCTCCATCACATCAAGGACAAGCAGCCTTCTACTTAGCATAGGGTCCCACAGCAGACTGGGTCCCAAGCAGACAGCTATAAGATGTGATGCCAGGATCAGGCTCGAAGAACCTTGCTCCAAGGAAGACTGTGCCAAAATGATGCAGGTGCTTGCCTGATAGTCATTTGGGGAGAAAGCTATAGTATTCAATCAAAGAGGTCTAGCATGCAACAAACATGCATGTTTAGCTCTTATGGGCCCTTACACGAAAATTCCCCACCACTGTTCCTTTCATTTTAAACAGGTGGCCCAAAAGGAAATGAAAGGAATCAATACTTTAAGATAGGGAAATACATTTCGGATGCCAAGGGTAGTGTGCACTGTTTACATGAAGAATTGAGGGGACCACTTCTAGAGCCAGCCTGTGGCTGAGCAGTGTGGTAATAAACACATCTTGCTCTCATGGAGAAGTGGTGATGCTGTACAGTTCAGGAGGAACCTGGTGCTTGGCTCCCTAGGAGCCCCTCAGAGTTCTAGGTTGATGGCAGAGACCTCCCAGAGGGTGGCGGGTGCTTGCATGCGCCATTGCCATTGCTCTGACCAGGAATGCCTTTCCAATTTAGACTTCACACAGGCTGAAATGCCCCCAGAAGACAACAGGAAGCTGGGTCGATTGAGATCCACTTTGCATTTGCCGCCATAAGCCACTGGGTAGATCCTGGCCTTGACCATATAAAATATGCATTGTTCCCTTAGACTTAAGTTTTTCAAAGTCTCATGGGGGGAAATGCAATGAAAGTACCTGGAGTTTTAGCCAAAGAGCTATGTGAGGAAAGCAGGGAGGGCCCTTTCTCTTCCTCACTTCATCATGACTGCCTAGGAGTGAGCCAGCCTAACTGGAACCCTCTAGAATCCTACCTTAGATCCACAATCTCAACATCCAATTCAACAAAGCATTAATTCAACACTTAGTCAGAGCTCGGTCCTCTAGAAGGTCATTCAACTCAATCACAGTCGTGGCAAAGTCTACGAGGTCCACAAAGTCAGATGTGATGATATTGACACCCATGACTCCAGGCTTTTGGGTCTTCACCCAATCAAGGATGGCAGGGAGATTCCTACATGAAGAAAGTGTTGGGTGAAAAGAGAAAAGATAGATGGTTAGACTGACAGGCAATGGCTAGAATGACAACTCGAGAAATGGAAATAAGACATTTTTATTACTGTAAAAAGTATATCAGAAACACACGAGGCCCTGGGGCTACATGAGCCTTATATCCCCTTGGATGTGGAGTCAGCATTCCACCAGAGAACGTGCCTTTCCAAGGTTTCTCTTATGGAAGAGCTTATTTGCTTACAGTATCAAAAAGACAGTCATGTTAACGGCACCTCATAACAGCAAGTCCAACAGTCCTTTTATTATTAGGTTCTTATCGCTCCTCATGAAAAACTTCAAACATATGGCAAACGGATAGAATTTTTATAGTAAGTGGATCCATTACCTATCTCTTGCCACAATTTTGCTTTCCACACATCTATTAATGCATTATTTTCCTATCACTGGTGTTTCTATTTTTGACATATTCCACTTGAAAACATATATAAAATCCCTTGCATATGTCATCATGCAGGCAATTAATTGCATTTTTTTCTTTTTATAGCACCATACAATATCCCATTGTATGACTATAGACACAGCTTATCCACTTTCCTGTTGTTAGATACACCGATTGTTTTTAATTTTGGGTCAGTATGAATAAACTATTATGGGCATTCCTCTAGGACTCTTTTTATGGGCTTCATTTTATTTTTCTTGGCTAAAAATCAAGGGACAAAACTGGTCTATGATGGGGTTTATTTATATTTAGTTTTATAAGAAACTGCCAGATCTTTCCTCAAAGAGACTGTTCAACTTCACAGTCCCACCAACAGAGCAGAAAAGCTCTGGACAGTTAATATTATCCCTAAACATTGATCCCACTAGTGTTTTAAGTCTAGTAATTCTAAACCCAGCATGGTGATCATGCCTATAATCCAAGCACACAGAAGATTGAAGCAGGAGGATTGATGGGAATGCAGATTGGCCTGTTATGTACCTTCTTTTTGCAAGTATCTACTCAACACTTTGACATTTTTTTTCCCACTTAGTTTTCAAACATTTTTATGTTCTTGCATTTTCATTTGTTCTCTGAAAGTTTCATGCAATGTGTTTTGATAGTATTTGCCCTTTGTTCTTTTAAATGTTGAGTTTTAGAAATAATTTTTATATCTTTGATACTAGCATTTTGTAAGAAATATTTTGCAAACATTTCTTCTATCCTGTAGTCTGTCCTGCCCTGTCCACAGCTGTTCAGTGCCAAATAAACACATAGAGGCTTATATTAATTACAAACTGTTTGCCTGATTGTTCAAGCTCCTTATTGGCTATCTCTCTCTTAATTATTAACCCATAACTATTAATCTATGTATTTGCACATGGCCTTGTCTTACCAGAGAATGCCTGGGTATCTTACCTCCCCAGTAGCTACATGGTGTCTCTCTCCCAACTCACTTTGTTTCTCTTCCCATAATTCTCCTAGTCTGGTAGTTCTGCCTATACCTCCTGTCTACCCACATCCTGCCTGTCCATTGGCCAAAACAGCTTTATTCATCAACCAATAAGAGAAACATATATTCACAGCATACAGGAGGACATCTCCCAACATTGTAGCTTGACTTTAATTTTCTAAATAAAATATTTTGATGGGGCTAAACTACTGCTTAACTTTTATGGTCTGTAATTTATCAATTATTTTTTCTTTTTCTTAAAAAACAAGATTGATGTGTCCTTATGAGGGTATGTGCATGTGTGTGTACGAGTGTTCACAGAATGTAGAAGGTAGAGTTGGATCCTGGAGCTGAAATTATAGGCTAAGAACTGAAGGTGGGTCCTCTGCTGAGACACCTTTCGAATAGTTACTCTTAACCCCTGAACAATCTCTCCAATATCCCATCGTTTATTATTATTATTTCTGTAATTTTCTTAAAAAATGCATTTACTTTCAATTCACAAAGATTTCTTCCCATGTTTTCTGAAAGCCTCAGGGCTTCACCTTTATTGTACTCTGATGCTATTGGCAGTTGTAATTTGAATGTAATCGGTGCCCATAATCTCATAAGGAGTAATACTATTAGGAGGCGTGGCTATGTTGGAGTGTGTATGGCTTTGTTGTAGAAAGTGTGTCAACTGTGTGGGTAGGCTTTGAGGTTTCCTATGCTCAGAATACCACCCAGTGTCTCAGTCAACTTCCTGTTGCCTGCAAGATGTAGGACTCTCCGATACTTCTCCAGCACCATACCTTCCCGCACGTTGCCATGCTTTTTGTCATGAAGATAATGGACTGAACCTCTGAAACTGTAAGTGAGCCATCCCTATTAAATGTTTTCCTTTCTAAGATTTGCCATGGTTATGGTGTCTCTTCACAGCAATAGAAACCCTAAGACAGCAGTCAACTTTTGCAAAAGGCATAACATAAGGGTCAGGGTTCACTTCCCACACAGGTTGTCACCCCAGCACTCCTTAATAGACTAATATTTAATCAGCTGTCTCTTGAATATAGTTGCTGGGGTATTTTATGAGCAGAAGACTTCTGATGTGATAGGGGCTCAGAGCTGATAACGTGAACAACACTTTTAACCCAGTGTGACATAAGTGTGAGGAACCATAGAGTAGAAGTAGAAGAGAGCATCTCATCTTGCATCATGGTAAACACAGTCCTGCTCACTAAATACTCAACAAAGGACGGTGGAGACTGGCTTACATTTAATGACACGACTGGGGATTCTTTAGGTTGGATATGCTCTAGCTAACAGTGATGGTCCATTCTCTTCTGTTCCTCATGCCCTCTCTGGTCACCACTTTCCCCCATTTCTAGTCTCCTCTCAAGCTGTCCTCCCTTCTGTCATGATGTTCCTTCTCTTCTTGGTCTTCTAGAGTGATGTTAAGCTACATTTTCCCACCTCCTCTTTCTTTTTGTCTTACAGGGATAAACTAAGTTCTCCTCTCACTCAGTGGGATCTATAGTCTACCACAGGCTTTAAAAAAAGTCTTATAAATAGATTTACATTTTTATTTTGATAGCTCCATGACTCACAATTGTCCTTCCGTGTTCAGCATGATCTCTTGGAGATCTTAATTTACTAAAATTCCTTGTCCCTGCTCTATTTCCCTGGGAACAGGGTGCATCAGAAAGATAATACAGTAGTGCATGCATAGAAAGTGTTCAGAGCAAATGCCTGCTTACTGCCTCCATCATATATTTGGCCAAGAAAAAGGGATCATAAACCAGTAAAAAAAAGTAGAGAGAGAAAAATTTGGGGAGTGGGGGTAATAAATTCCATAATATATCCACACAACAAAATGTTGAGAAGGGGAGCTGAAAACACAGACCCCTGTTAGAGACAAAGACCAATAATTCACAGTACTCCTAATGAAGGATACTGGCAGGGAGCCTATAGCAGTCTGGTTTCAAACTATCCTTTGTCAGTGCCTATGTTTGGAGATCTTTCGCCATCTGCTGGTAATTCTGGGGAAATGTAGAATCCACTGGCATTGACCAGGAATAGAGCTCTTTGCAGAAGGCTGGGCTGTGGCACTGGATTTAAATCTTCCCTCTGACCTTGAGGCCACCTCATTTCTTTACCACTCGCGGTGACAGACACTGTTAGCTTCAGACTGTTATTTCCCAGTGGTGAAGAAAGGCACATCCCAGAGACAAGAACTTGTGCAGGGTCACCCTGTTGCCCAGGGAACTGTGTTCGCTTGCTCTGCTGTAACAACACACACACTAGTGACTTCAAAGAACTGAAGTCATTTTCTCCTGTTCTAGAGGCTGCCAGCTAGAGATTAGGATGCTGCTAGACTGGGCTTTATCTGAGGCGTTTATTCTTGACTTGGAGGTGATTTCCTCCTTCCCACATTCCCCTGCCCCCCGTGGTATTTTCTTTATGTGCATACACAGACCTCTGGTCTCTTTGCTTTTTGTTTGTTTTTGGAGATAATATCATACATTCCAAGATGACCTTGGATGTCTGCTCATCTGCTTACAGGCTTGTACCACCCACCATGCTTAGCTTCTATTGTCTCTTCTTGGTTTAAATTTCTTTTTGAACTTCAGTGTGAGCTCATTAAGGCCCACCCTAAAGGCCTTTCAACTTAATTACCTCCTTAAAAGGCAATTTATTCAAACAGACTCACATTCAGAAGCTGTTGGATTGTATTTTATTCTATTTAATGCTGTGGGACATGTGTTTACATCGTGTGAAGACGTGTCACTGTGATTGGTTCAATAAAGAGCTGAAGAGCCAACAGCTAGGCAAGACAGAATAGGTGGGACTTCAGGGGACATTGAGGAACTCAGAATGAATCGGAGAGTTGCCAGGGAGACATGGAAGAAGTCATATACAGAATGAAAGAGGGGTAAAATGCCATGTGACAGAACATAGGTTAATTTAAGTTATAAGAGTTAGCTGGAGCAAGCCTAAACTAAAGGTCAAGCTTATTATTAATTAATAACAAGTCTTTGTGTCATTACCAGGGGCTGGAAGTCTCAAAAGAAAGTTCAACAAGAAAGCTTGCTACAGTTTGAAACAGGGGCTCACTATATAGGCCTGGCTGGCCTCAGACTCTCACAGATCTGTCTGCCTCAGCTTCTGGAGTGCTGGGTCTAAAGGTATGCACAACCACACTAGAATTTTAATTCAAGAATTTGGGCAAGGGAGCATAGTTCAGTGACCTTAATAGGGATCTTGCAAGCTTCTACCTCATGCCTCCTATCTCAGTCCTTGTCCCCACCCAGAGTTCCAGTGGCCATTTGGTCCTCGGTCTTAGGCAAAACTCCCCTTCATTTGATGTTACTATGAATACTATGGATTTGAATTCCAGGTTTCTTCCAGTCTGAACTACAACAGAAATTCAATTTGAATGCACTCTATAAATGTGTGCTTTGCTTCTAAAATGGTGAACCAACGTAAATAGAATCTCATGTTCAAAGCTCATCTGAGAACTATGGATTAGCTTCCCACTGAGGAAATTCCCTCTGGCAGTAGGAAGACATTCCCAGGGTTCCCTGGGTTTGAGCTACTGATCAGCTAGCTAGAACCCCTGTGCAGTTAGCCTGTTAGGACAGGCTTTTGGGGTTCTGGCACTCAGGGGGAGAGCCTATGATTACTCAGTGGTGAATCGACAGCCATGTGATGTTTTTGACATTTGGGAACAGATTCCTGGGCAGAGCCAGGCTTCTCCTTTCAGTTGATGTGTAGGCACAGGAATGTAGGACCACACCCTGAATACTCCTGTGACCAGAAAGGGCTAGGATGCCTAGGTAGCTACTCATTTAAAGGACACATTCTCACTACCAACAAGGAGATCTTACTTTTGGGCTCTTTGGGCTTGTGCTCTCTTCATTGCAACTAAACAGAGAGGCTGAAATTCATGGGTAGCCAGGCTGAAGAATCATGAAAGTGTAGTGACATTGTTGGTTAACAAGGGTAACCAGTGTGAGCTGAGCAGGTCCAGGCACTACTAACTCAATCATGGGCTCAGGGACACCAAGGAACAGGGCACAGGCACCATCCCTGCTTATACCAGTGCTCACACTACTACTCAGGCCAAAGCCCTTCAGTCCCGACAGACTCTTGGCAATTGGAAGCTCTTCAGGCTGCATCACTTAGCTTCCCTGAGTACTGTCTTACACGAAGACAATATGTCTTCGATGGTGTCCCCTTCTCCCCCTCAAGAGGCTGACCTGGATTTAAGCATCATATACCAAATCATTTGCGAAAGGCATCTTTTATTCATAATAAAGGACTTATCCTTACTCTGAAATAGCCTCTTGGGACCACTGCCCACATGGATTAGAAGTGGAGTGGTCTTCACACACAATAAAATGTTGTATAGAAATGTCATGCTAATTTTTGCTGAAAGACTGTCCATGGGCCAAAGGCTACAGAACTCATCTGCCTCTTACTCGATGCTCTCTGCTTTTCTTGAAATTTCAAATGTTATTGAATGACTCAATAAATAATGTTAAGCTACAAATTTACCCAAAGCATGAGGAAAATGGAATGGGAATATGAAAATATAATACATGCAAAGAAAAGTTTATAATTCTAGGTTCTTTAAAGAGATACTGGTTTAGATTTTTTTTAAAAGTTAAACATGGTAGCTCACATTTATAATTCCAACATTCTTAGAGACTGAGGCAGGAGGATTGCAGTTGGTCAGTTTGAGGTCAGCCTGAGCTCCAAAGTGAGAGCCTGTCTCACTCTACCGTACCCTTACCATCATCCCCCAAAGATTATTACCATGTAGCCTACACATGGCCTTTCCTGGCTTTGAACTCACAACCCTCTTGCCTCAGTTTTCCAGGTGCTGGGAATTGCAAGTGCGCAGCACCATGGCCACCCATGGAATTCTTTGTTTCCAGTTAATTTGGTTGCCACGTGGAAGAGCTGCATAGGAATGAGCCTCTTGCTCTGTCCTTGGTTGACATTAGTAGGAGGAAGGAAGAGCACCATTGTTGCTTGTCTTTTAAAGTCTGGGCACATGGCTATTATCTGAAATCATGCTCTTCAAACTCAGAACCAAATGAGAGTGACTGAGCATGTGCCTGGCCATGTGACTGGCCAAAGATTTCACTATCCGAATTGTGGTCACCACCCAGAAGTCAAGAGCCAAACAGATGCTAATATATAATTTAACAGATGTAAATATGATTTTTAGGAAACACGAATACATTCATTTCCAAAGCTTGGCCTACAGCCAAGTGCACCTATACCATCCCTCTGTATACATATACACATACACAGTCTACATACGTACCCATACATGTATACACATGTAATATACCTACTTGACATCCTTTATCCATCAGTCACTGGTGCCCAGGATGAAGACCATCAGCTCATACAAAATGATTAGCACATCCCTATGTAACTGTATATGAAACCTAATTCTGTCCCAATGGAATACTGGAGGCTGTGGCATAGCACTAAAGACTCATGGTCACCACACAAGAAAGAACAAATCCCTGAAGGACCATCTTTCAGTCCCTAGCACAGAGCACCGCAGCTTGTTTAATGATTAAACAGGGAGTACCTCAGCCAGTTGCATGGGCAGTAACAAGATCACCATGGGTGTGTGTCACAAAGAAAATACATGGTGATACTGTGTCAGAGTGCTTGCCATAGTAATGAAATACAGTGAGTATTTATGGAATAATGCAAACATTTTAGCAAAGTGTCCCAGGATTCTTTGGGTACTATTCATGCAATCCTCCTAGAATCCACAGCTTTTCAACAGTATGTTTTATAAGTTGTTTTTTTTTTTTTTGTTTGTTTGTTTCATTTTGTAATGCTTAAAGTCTAGAGTTTTACTGTTGTATATTTACAATAAAATCAAGGTGTATGTGTGTGTGTGTGTGTGTGTGTGTGTGTGTTCATGCAGGTGTACCTGTGTTTGAGTGTATGTGTCTGTGCCTGTCTGTGACGTCAGAAGGCAACCATGGCTGTCAGTCTTCAGATGTCATCCATTTTGTTGGAGACAGTTTCTAACTGGCTTGGAACTTGCCAATTAAGGTAGGCTTGCCAGGCAGTAAGCCTCAGGCATCCAGCTGTTTCTGCTTCTCCAGTGTTGAGATCCTGGCATCACAAGGGTTCATTGTTTCTCAGGACTGATTTTGCATGGGTTCTGGAAATTAAACTCAGTTCCTCATGCGTGTAAGAGAAGAACAAAGCTATCTCCATAGCCTCTCTCTTTCTGCCTGTCCCTCCCTTTCTTCCTCTCTCCCTCTACCGCTCCCTCCCTCCCTTCTTCCCTCCCTCTCTCTCTTTTTCCCTCTCCGTGTGTTCAAACTTCTGTGGGTGGGGATAGGTACGAAAACCCATAATTCCAGTATCAGGGAAGCAAATACAGGAATATCATGAGTTCAAGGTTGCCTAGAACTGAGTCAGAAAACTAATCAAACCAACCAACCAACCAACCAACCAACCAACCAACCAACCAGTCAACTAAGCACACCAAGCAATTAACCAACCACTACTGCCACCAATGAAACAATACCACAAACCCTGCCTATGGGATGAAGCCACCTCTTACCTGTGAACTAGTGTGTTCTTGAGGCCCCCCACTAGGCCTCGGGCAATGGTCTTCACTCTTGGGGTGAGGATGGCCTGGGAGACATGGAAGGCCCCATGTGGAGCACGTTCACTCAGGGTGGTCTCCAAAAAGGGGATCAATTTATGCACACTCGTAGTGTTTGCCCACGGTGCTGGAATTTTCTTTCCTGGCCACAGGAATGGGTATTGCTTGTAGAAGGGACAGTGGTAGAAAATGAGAACCTGAAATATTCAGAGCAGACAAAGGACAGCAACATTTAAAAGCTGAATACAGGGGTGGGGGATGGTGGGAGGTGGAGGCATAGACAAACATGCTCAGAGGTAGAACTGTTCGTGTAAACTGAAATTTTTAAAAGCTACACCTCTGTGAAAGACTGATGATGCTGAATGACAGATTATCACTTCATGAGTGTGGGAAGTTAGAATGTTGAAGTCTAGAGTCCAGTTACCTTGGGCAAGCCTTGATTCTCTCAGTAATCATTTTTGCTCACACCTGTACCAGGCCTAACATCTTTTTGACTATCAGGTTAAAACCTTTGACCACGTATTTGTAGCAGACCACCAGCTTCCAAGAGCAAAAATGTCCATAGTCTGCATCTGAAACCTCCAGTAGCTTCTCTTGCTTTAACTTGCCTAGTTGTGGTAGCTACCAATGTTGATCAATGCATTGCCCTGTGGCTTTCTTTAGTTTTGAGGCTAATCAAATCTCATGTGACCATTTCCACAGCGGACATGGTGTTCCAGGCCATCTGAGTATGTGTCCCCAGACCTTTTTTTTTATTCTCTTTGAGGTGAGAACTATATTTTCCACAGATTTTTTTCTTTTATTAGATGTATTTATTTTTACATGGCAGAGGAATGGGGTGGTGACTTTTGGGAGTTAGTTCCCACCTTCAACCAAATAGGATCTAGAACTTTAACTTAGGACATCACTCTTGGTGGTATGCCCTACCCACTGAGCCCTAGCATTGCCCCTATATATTATTTTTAAAAAATAAAAAGGCAAAGATTTACTGAAAACTTGCTGTTTAATTCAAAGATGACTTCTTTTTTTGACTATGCACATGGTAAAAAAACACAGACTATCTTCTCACAGGGGTGCCTTGAATGCACAAAACAGACAAGACTATAAATTGATATGAAATAAAGGAATTATTACTATTCATATAACAAATGCATCTGTAGGAAATTAATGTAGAGCCTCATGATAAATACATAAGATTCTTTTGACAGAGTCTAATAAGCTTCATTAACTATGAGTTAGTGATGAGCATAAATGGTATTTTAAGACAATCTGCAGAGACCATGACATGGCCATATCCCTAAGGGTAATTGACAGGCCAGACTAACCCTGCCAAGTAGGATACTATTGCCAGCATGCATGACTGGTTTGCATGTGAACCCTTCCACTCAAGGTAAGTAAAAATGAAAATGTCATTTTTTGTTATGGTAGTTTTTGCTTGTTTGTTTGTTTGTTTTAACCAACCAGACAGCCTTATTAAATTCTGTACCACACTCCCTAAGAAGCCTCTAGATCCCAGGCTGAAACGACATATATGGCCCACCCAGAAAGCATGTTCCCTGTGCTCATGGGATTGACATTTAGCTCTTGGAGTTTAGATAAACCCAGTGAACTCATCTGTGATTGAACAGATTTTCAATTGTGTGCACTGGCTCTGATGAAATTCCCCTTCCCAGGGGAGGAAACCGATGTGCCACAAGCTTCAGGGAGAACTTTACTGAGGCCATGGGTCTCCAGAGGGGCCATTCGAGATGGTGGTAATTTTGAAAATAATTAGCAAACTATATCCACAGCATTAATTAGTTTCTGGGAGGCAGCTGGGGGGGGGGGGACAAAATTGCTCTTCTGATTGTCCCAATTGTGAGCGCTGCTGAATGGCTTTCTAGAAGAGCAAGCAGCATCCCTCTCCCCCACTCAAGGGGCACGGGTGAGATCTTCCCAGAGGAATGCCCAGCTCGTGTTTACACTGCAGACTGCAATCTTCTGAGTTGTCCTGCAGGCTCTTAGAGCAGGGATTCCATATGCTCATCTCAAGTCCAGTGTGTTCAGTTGATGATGCAGGCGACTGGAGGCAGGGAGTGCCAGGCAGGGGGCTGCAATGGGGGTAATGTCTACCTTCTTGGTTCTTATTGGTCCTGAGTAATGCTGGGCACGGATGATGACTGTAGTAACCTCGTGTGTTAATGAGGTTAATCACAGGCTCACTGTAAGCAGATTGCTGGGGGAGAGCCAAAGATTTCCTCCTGGCATTGTACCTAGCTGGTTCAGAAGGCTGAAGCCGGTAAGGAGAGCTGCCTCAGGCAGTGGGCTGGAGGTAGGGGGTGAGCAGGAGGCTGGGCAGCCTCCTGTTGCATGCCCCACACGTAGTACTCGAGACACCTGCCCCTGGGCCTGCATCCATGCACTGGAGGACAGTAAAAACTTTGCTCTGCCTCAGAAACTGTGTATTTAGTCCAAATTACACAAAAGAGACTTTCTGTCCATCTCACCCCTCCTCCAGGGGGCGCTTCTTGGGCAGTCTGATCTAAGGGTTTCGGGAAATCTCTGCTGACAGTAGTGTATCTGGCTGGCTAACCTACACCCAAAGCCCAGGTTACAGATCACAGGTGCAGGGACACTCGCTGAGCTCGATCAGAGACTCTCAGAGATGCTCTGTCCCCATCTCTCTGTGCTGTTTTTCTTTGAAATATCTCCCCTCTGGATCAGCAGTTCATGTTCAGTTTTTCTCTTGGACTAAGATGGGAAATCTCATTTCTTTTAAGAACAGTCCCTGGGGTGACCTCTTCTTACTGTGGTGGTTGCTTTACTGGGAGCCTCTGGGATGTAGATTCATGGTATGCTCTACTTCTCAAGCTATTACAAACCCCTTTCCTCACACCATACAGAATACCGGATGTGGTCTTACCCTACAATTGCATATTGATCGTTTTTGTTTATTATTATCTTGGATTGATAAATTATGTTTCCTACTACTATTATTGTTGTCTGCAGGTAGGTGTGTGTATACCATGGCATACACGTGGGCATCAGAATATAACTTCCAGGAGTTGGTTCTCTCCTACTATAAGTTCCAGGGGTTGAACTTGGGTCCCCAGGTTTTCACAGCAGGTGCTTTTAACCCCTGAACTCTCTGGCTGCCCTTTTTATTGGGGATTTTGAGACAGGTCTTGCCATGTAGCCATCTCTGGGCTGGAACTTGCTATGTAGCTCGGACTCAGAGCCACCTTCTTGTCTCAGCCCAAGGGCTGGAATTACAGGTGTGCACCACCCCGACCACTTTGACTGTTTGTTATTTCACTAGAGTTATGTATTTCTTCCCTTCTCATTAACGTCCCAAGTACTTCCAAACTGTAGGCTAAATCCTCTGACTCACTGTGCCCTTAAAGCCTTATCTACTAAAGTATGCTGATATAATCTGTGAGCTGTGACATAATTACATGTTGAGTAAATGAAATGTGACTGGTGGTAGAGCACTTCCTGATATTAAATTCCAATAATAAAGCACCCAGGGCGCGAGGGGAGGGTGTGTGTGTGTGTGGTATGTGTAAGGGAGCTCATTATATAACGAATATTTAAAGCCTGACCACAAGTGTGACACTTCCCCAGCATGGGGCCAATGACTGGTGGCTGTCTTTGAGCGCTCTTCTTTGAGCGGTTAAAAAGAGCCATATAGAAGAAACAGGGATCAGGGGAAGTCATACAACTTAAATGACAACCTTTTTCCTTTCTCTAATACAGTCTCTTTCCCCCATGACTTTAAGACTATTTGTAGTGAACAATGCAGCTCAATTACCACGCCTCTATGCATGTATGTGTGTGATGTATGGTATATGTACTTGTTAGTGTGGGTATATGCATGAGTACATGCGGATGCACACACCTGAGCATGCACACGTATGGAGGCTAGAGGTTAATGTTGGGTATCTTTCCTTGATAGCCTCTCAGCTATTTTTATGTAAAGGTCAGAGGGCATCATCCAGGGTTCAGTTCTCTATTTCCACCCTGGGGTCCTGGGCTCAAACTCATATTGTCAAGGCTGGCTTCAAGTCCCTTACTGCCAAATCCCCTTCTGTTCCCTTTTTTTGAGGGGGGACAGAGTTCTTTGATGAATCGAAAGTACTATTGAGCAGGCTGGCTGTCCAATGCTTTTCAGGGACCTGCCTGTTTATACCTGCTAGCTACGCAGAATATCCTACGTGTACCAAATTATACGATGCTACCTGACCTCATATTTAACCTTATCTGATCCCTGCAATCAAACAACATCTCCCTTTTCTCAATGGAACAGTCTGGGGCCCTTTGAGGATAGGTTCTTAATGAAAAGAAAGTGTTTTTCTTTCACAACACAAGAAAGCTGTTGTGAAATCATCAAGGCCTGTGGCCTCAGAGAGCAGTAGGAGCTGTGGAAATACCAGAGAGGAAGCAGCCAGTGAAGGAAGCCTAGCCCACACCAATCCATCACAGTGCTGCCTTGGCCAGATGTGTTAGTCTCTCCATTCCTCAGTTTTCAATTCTGTAAAATGGGGGGCAATAACAAATGCCTATCTCTGCATCTGAGGCCTATCCTTTTACTGAGTGTGTTCCTCAGGGGTGTAGTTTTGGAGTCTTATCTTTACTGGGGGTACATGGATAGAAGGTATTAAGCAGACATTACAGAAGACAGAATAATGGTCTACTGACCAACTGGTTTATTTCACAACTTTGCCTTGGGCTGATATTAGCCAAGCCATTAAAAGTAAATTTAGATGTCTGCAGGTAAACTTTATTTGGCAGGTGTGGTGGTTTAAATGAGAATGTCCCTCTTCCATTGGCTCAGATAATTCAGATATTTGAATATTTGGTTCCCAATTGGTAAACATGTTTGTCCCAGCTCAAGAGGTTTCAGAGGGCAACAATATTAAAAACTAGAGCCCTAGTTGGTGTATTTAGGCAAAGAAGGTGGCTGTTTTTGTCTTTGTCTTGTGAATTTTCCTAATGCTAAACTGAAAAACAATGAACGAATTTCAAGACGACTTAATAGTGATTCTGCCACGTGGTTATCACACTAATACAATAATCGTGCTTATGCAGGTCTGCAATGAAAATGAGCCAGTGGGACAAAGAGAAATTAGAAAATATGCAGTGGAAAGAAGAAAAGGAGCACCACGAAATCTAACGTTAGAGCCAGACTTGTGATGAAAGATATGAGAAGACTAAAGAGAGGCCCGATCTGAAATGGAAAAAAGGGAGGGGTGTCTCCAGGGTGAGACCTCACCCAGATAAGCTTTCAATTTGTAAAAAAAGGAATTTTCTGCTCCAAAATAGCAGCAGCAAATCAAAGCTACTACAAATATGATTCCAGGGTGCTAAGTTGTTCGTCAAACTTGGCAGTGCCATCCCCATGGTTCTGGCTTCACAGTCACGAAGGAAGGAGGAGAGAGGGGCTATGGAATCTGCCTTCATAGTGAAGGAGGGCCATTGAAGGCAGGCATGAGGTGGGGCAGACCCTGCATGAAGGCGAAAGTGAAGCCTGTATTGTGTTAGAAACACAAAGGTATTAGCGGTGCCAGAGTCATGGGATGTCTGTCAAAGAGGGCTGAGTACAAGGAGTGAAACCAGCTCAAAAGAGAGAAGTACATTGCACGCAGAAAAGCTGCAAGGCAGAACCATGTAAGTTCTTTGACATCAGGCATGAAGCTAGGTATTTGGAGTTTTCTCTGCTGGGTTTTAGTCTTGCTTTAGTCCAATATCCCTTCACTATGTTTCTTATCCTCCCTTTGGGAATGGTCATGTACAATCTGTGCCATTGCATGTCAGGCGTATGTAAGTTGCTTTTTGCTTTTGATTTTACAGGGCTATAGTTAAAAAGATCACCTTAAGTCACAGAAAAAACTTCAGACTTTTAAATCCTTAAGACTGTGAAAGACTATGGGGACTTTTGAATTGGAATCATATGCATTTTGCATTATGACATGGCTACAGGTCTATGAGGACCAGGGAGTGGAATGTGGCAGTCAAAATAAGAATGACTCATATAGGCTCCTACAGTTGAATTCTTGGTTCTCAGTTGGTGGCAATGTTTGGGATGGATTAGGAGGTGTGGCCTTGTTGGAGGAAGCGTTCACTGAAGTTGCATTAAAGCACCATCCTCAGTGCTTTCTCTCTCTCTGTCTCCTGGTTGTGGATCAAGATGTGAGCTCTCGGCTGTTCCTTTGCTTTGCTGTCACTGACCCTAACTCTGACTCCATAAGCCAATTAAATGCTTTCTTTCTTCAGTGCCTTGGTCATGGTGTTTTATCCCAGCAATAAGAAAGTAACTAAGACACCAAACATTAATCCCACTGAATCTCTTGTAGCTATCCCAGAGTCCAGGTACTCGTCTACACATGCTCAGTACATCAACCAATCTCCTCTTCCAGCCCCTCAGCCTTGGGTTGAGCTAGTTTTACAGGTGGCACCCCAAGGAAAGCAGGGAGTTAAATTCTTGCTCTCAGAAGCACATCACCCCTTCCCTCTTACCTGGTACTTCTTTTCCCACAGGTTCTGCAGTGTCATGCTCTCCACACTGCAGGCTGGGCACAGCTTGTTCCCAAAGGCCTCCTGGATCCGCAGAACCAGGCATTTGTGGTGGGCCTCATCCATGGCATAGAAGTGGTTGAAATCCAGGAAGATGATCTCTTGTGGGTGCTGAGTGAGGAACGCATCAATCTCCATCAATCCATCCCAAACCTTGATGCCAAAGAGCCCGTGAATGAAGTAGATCTCTTGGTCAGTGTCCCCTGGCTTGGAGGACACATGTAGGTCAAAGTAGCGAATCCCAGCCTCCAGCTGCTCCCGAAAGGTCAGGTTCTGAGTTACAGACCATTTCTTCATTAGCTTCTTTACCAAGGAGATCCGGGCGAGGCGTTTGACAGCTTGGGTTTGGTCAGGCCCCACTGGGGACTTTTCATCTACCCAGTAGCTGAATGAATCATGGGAACCTGAATAAAGCAATAAAGGAGAAAACCAGAATTGAGACTCTTTAACTGATAACATGACAACAGATAAGAAACGCAAGCACAAATACTTTATAAATAAATACTTGCAAAAACTTTCTAGCCTGCTGGGAATGAAATAAACAAAAATGAAAGTAATGTAATCTTATTAGCAGCTCGTTAAGCCTAGGGTAACACTATAATTCTCACATATTGCTAGTGTAATGTAAATTAATAACTTTTTAGAAAGGTACTTAGAAATATGCTTAGAAATCAGAGCTTTAAAATATTCATTGCATTTTGATTTAGTAATTTCATTTTAGGGAAGCTATTCTGGAGGAAATAAACTCAAACCTTTGGAGAAAATAAAGATGGCTACCAGAGGCTATCATAACAGATTCAAACACAAGGAGGCTTAAGTGTCTCTTAAAAGATGTTTATCCATGTTATTCATTCCATTGAAATGTGGAAGGGTATAGGAACACTGTGCTGAGCTCAGGAATGTTGGGGCAGGAACATCAGTAAAGAATAACAATCACTCCTGACTTCATCATAATAAAAGCCTGGAAAGACTAGGTCTAGAAGGAACATGTCTCAACACAGTAAAAGTTGTAGACAGCAACCCACAGCCACCATTATGCTAAATAGAGAACAGCTCTTATTCCATGTAACACCTGAAGTCTTAGTTCGAACACTGTAACTGAGAAGGAAATAAAAGGGATATAAATATGAAAGGGAAAAGTTAAAACAACCTTATTTCAGATGATGGGATTTTGTTCATAAGATCCCCTAAATGTTCCATCAGAAAATTGTTAGACTGATAGTGTCTTATCTCAGCAAAAGCGCAGGATACACTATTAACAGATAATACTAATAACAATAAACTTTCTGAGAAATAGGGAAACAATACTATTTATGGTAGCCTCAAAACAAACAAGGAAACCAACACCCTTTAAGTAAACCCGATGAAGTAAAGATATCACAATGAAAACTTTAAAACTTTAAGAAAATTGAAGAAAGTACTGAAGACAGAGTAACCTTTCATGCTCATGGATTGGTAGAATAATGAAATGACACACAGCTCTCAAAAGGTGCAATAGAAATGGCCAATGAACATGAAAAGCTTTAAGTTCACTAGTCATCAGAGAAATATAAATTAAAAATACATCACAAGTCCACAATGACAGCCATTAAGAAAACAACAAATGCTATTAAGTATACATACATAATGGAACCTTTGTACACCAATAACAGTAATATATGGTACAGCTACTATGGAAATGAGAAAGAAGTTTCTAAAAGAACTTCAAAACACATCTACCATATGACCCAACTACACCACTCCTGGGTATTTACTCAAAGGTCCCTAAATCAACACGTGACAGGAACATTTGCACAGTGTACATATCAGCACTGTAAACAGCAGCCATTATGAAGCAGGCCTAGGTGACCAACAGCAGGAGCATGGTTAAACATTAGATGAACATACACAATGGAACTCTGACAGCCATAAGGAAGAATGAAAACAAATCCAACTAGAGATAATCACAGACAGGAGATTAAGCCAGTCTCCAAAACACAAACAGCATCTTTTCTCTTCTTTGGGTTCCTAGATTTTAATTCAACACATAAAATATGCCTATATGACACGAGAGTAGTAGCAAAATTGAATCAGGGAACAAAGGAGACTAATGTGGGGGAGGGCTAAGAAGGGAGGGGATAAGGATGCATAGAGTGTGTCTGTTCAATGTACAATATATACTTGTATGAATATCCCTGTATGTAACAGTGCCCTGTGTAATGAATACACAATGGAATTCAGCAAAACAGAAAATCTCTTGTACCTTTTTCTAACATACAGTGTATTACTGTTTTCTATATCCACCTCAAATATTTTGGTGAAACTATTTGTTTAAAATAGTTGTTTAAAATTCCTATTTGTTTAAAATATAGCAAATAAAATGTAAAAGATTATACCTATAAGTAATGTGTGTATATCTTTGACTATGCAATGCTATTATGTATTTAATCTCACACTAATTTGTGTATGACTGGAACCATAATTTTGATCTTCTATAATCTGATTTTTCTTATATACTTGCTTTATTTTAATTTATCCTAATTTCAAAATAAAATTATCTTAACAAATAATTGTACTCACTAGCCCTTGTGTTTAACCAGGACTAGGGAAAAACACCAGAACAAAGCACAAACACACAGTGTGTGTGTGTGTGTGTGTGTGTGTGTGTGTGTGTGTGTTGGGGGGCACATTTACTGATTTGTGCACAGAGGCTGGAACCTCGACACAGACTCTCATTGAACCTGGAGTGTAGAGAGGTGACCAGAGAGCATCTGGAGCCCTCTGGCTGCAGGCCCTTGTTCTGACCCTGAGAACCTTTGTCTTCAGAACCATACCAGGACTCTATTAGTCATACTACTTCATCATCATTGAACGGAACTTTAGAGCAAGCATTTCATACATACATACATACATACATACATACATACACACTGACATTCATACATACATACATACATACATATAACAAAATTACATGGAACAGTTGGTCATATTCTCTCCTTCTTCTGAGAAGAAATCATCCTGCACTGACTTTATCCCATCGTCTCAGAAGAGTGAACAAAAGAAAAATGGGCTAACAAATGGTGCTTTTATTTTTATGTAGCATCCAGAGCATGGAAGAGATTCAGTTAAAGCTTAAGAAACAGTATATTTATTAGTCTTTAGGTGAACCAAATTTCACAAGTGGGAAAATTACCAGCATATTTCAGGTAAAAGAAAAGCTATTACTGATAGAAATGTGGGGCGAGTCCCCGTGGACCTTCTTCATTGGATGCCGTAGCTAATGAGGCTCACTGGCTTCTACCTAATGCGATGCTTCCTTTGGCTGGACAGAAACAGGGAATTTTTATACCTCCTTATTGAGAGATTTATTACAAGTCCCTTAGATATAATGGTGAACAGCCAGTTCTCTCTTCCTTCTAAATTGCATTAATGAGCCAGCTGTTTGGGACACAGTATGTAACCGAGTGCACGGCACATACTCAACTTAATTCTTGCCTGGGCACCAGGGAATAGCTGTTAGCCAACCATGGAGGACAGACAAATCTCCTCTGGAGTGTGCTTGCTGGTGCTGAGCCCAGTTTCAGCTCCACAGGGAGATGTGCTAACAACCTCCAACGCTTGGCTCAGCAGAGAACTGTGTGGAAATGTGACAGTCATGGGACCCCAGGGGCCATTTCTGATTGCACAGGACACACACCATTCCCAGCCCACTCCACCGAAGAGAAGCCCACCCTACAGGAGTGAACAACTAGTCTCCCTTGGTCTCTGTGTCTTCTGTTCACTCTCCTAGCCCACCTCAACCTTCCTAACATCCCCACCCCACCTGTGGTCTGCAGGGTGTGATACTGGTGTAGGCTGTCTTACCTCCGTGCCTACAGAAGTCAAAGGCAACCATCACCCAATAAAATGTATTTTCAATGATTTTGCTCTTTCTACTTGATACCCCACCCCCAGAACCTTTGTTAAAATAGAGTAAATATAATAACAGTGAAGACACTGGGTAACTGGTTGGGTAAAGGAAACTGGATGAGGGGGAGGAAAGAATTTAAATCCAGCCCTAAATTTCAAGTCCCTGTGACTGGATTACTTATCAACAGAAGTTCCAGAGTACTATGCTGAGGGTGGAGTAAGGAATACCTCCTGTGGGGACTGACATCAGCAGCAGGCTTCAGAAATAAGTTAATTTATTGTGTGTACAGACCACCAGGTGGAACTTTCCCAGGGAAGCTGGAAATGTAGAAGTCACACGTTCAATCCTGGTGCCCAGGAAGCAGAGACAGGAGGATGCCATGGGCTTCAGACCACCTGGACTACAAATGAATAGGAACAACTTTGACAGATGAGTCCCTCCTTTGTGGTCTATACTCCCAGGACTAATTTTAGCCCATAGAGAGGAGACAGGTGGGGCTGGAGAGATGACTCAGCCTCAAGGGCTCTTTCTGCTCTTGCGAGACTCAAGAGTTCCGTTCCCAGTGCCCATGCCCATATCATGGCTCACAACCACCTTTAGCTCCAACTCCAAGGGAGCATACATTCTCTTCTGACCTCCTTGGGTTCCTGTACACACACATATACTCATGCAAGCTCACAGAAATACACATATATAAAAATAAATATGTCAACTTTAAAAAATGAGGATTTTTTTCCTCCAAATTCTAGAAACGTAGCTGTCTGCAATCCCTTAATTTTGATAGTTATTGTTATATTGGTTTCTTCCTGTTTTTTTTTTTTTTTTTTTTTTTTTCCTCTTGATGCATGTAAAGCCCTGGAACAACATACGTGTTGGGAGCATAGCAGGAAGGTCCAGAGAAAGCAGGAATGTTAATCTCAGAGGATTGTCTTTCCATGGAAAGATGAAAAACCTGTTCTTCCACCCAAAAAGCTGAGAATTTGGAGTGATAAACTGCTGGTGATCTGCTTTATCTGTCCATCCAGGCCATATCAAGTGCTGACAACCAGGACTGGAGGTGGCTATAATCTAAATGACCCTGATAGCCTGAGGCTTCCTGAAGTTCCCCCAACCAGGACCAGAGGTAGTTTATAGACCAAATGACCTCTGTGCTATCTGTATGATAGCACATAGATAGCACTTAGACCCTTAAGTGAGTATAGGTAATGTATCTCCAGAACACATCTTCTTGGAAGAGATGTGCCCTGAGTTGAGTTTCAATGTAATTACTTCCTTGTGCAAAGGGGATACTTTTCCAAATTAAACTGGGCTTACATACGCTGGGAATAAACTGTTGCTAGCCTCCCTGATCCAGGTTTTCATTCTTATCTCTTTAAGTGGTTTGCTTCCCTGAATGATACCTGCAGGGACCTTTGTATTTTCACGGATTCTTTGTAATGGAAAGCTTTGCTTCCCAGCTTTGGACACATAGCAGAACGTCAGGGGACACACCAATGCCAGGATGACCTCAGA